CGGGTTAAACTGGGTGTCGGTAGCACCCGTTGGGCTGATGCCACGTGCCTGCCGTGGGGTCGACGTGTCAGCTTTACAGGATCAATGACGTCACCATCCTTAAATTACGATTTGCGTAGCATGTTCAAACGGTGGGTTTCGTGCTCATCATCGTCCAATAAGGTGGAGGAGGTACGAAACTCATATGAGGGGAAATCGATGGAGTCGGTGATATGACACGTGGCAATAATATAATGGTGTGATCGGATGGGCATTCATGTGGGTCCATGTGACTAATTTCATTAAATGGGTAATTTGGAGAAGCGTAAAAAGGATAATTTTAACTTTATCTGTGTTGAATGAAGAAAATAAAAAAATAAAAAGAGAGGCTTTAGATTTAATTGATGTGATTTGCGTGCGAAATCTAATTTATATTTACTAAAACAAGACTTAGTTTAAATAAATACGTATATGTTTTATATTTATATACATATATATATATATTGTCGCCTCAAAAGTATCTATTTTAAAACTAAATTAAGTAATAAAAATATATTTAATTAATATATTTCTATATAAATATGGCATTTTGAGGAAACTATAAAAACATGGTATAAATTACCATCCTTTAAATTGAGATATTTTTTTTTAATTTTTCTTTAATTTACTTTTAAAATAATTTTATTATTAACTCTTTGATTTAATATATTTAAAAAAAAAATACGACTTTGAGATAAATAATTAAATTTACAATATTTTATTAAAAGTACATGTATTTTATTCATCAACTAATGTTTTTTTCAATTTGTTTGACTTATTTTGGACGTATTATTTAATTTTTTACTCAAATCTTAACTTGCTTATAACATATTTTAGAGGGCGCAATTTATAATTTATAAAATAATATGATTTTTTTGTTGACAAATCCTATTGTATAATTAATATATTTTAAATTTAATTAAAAATTAATACAATGTTCTAAAGTTTATATAGAATTTTTACAAAAATTCTAGATAAAGAAACATAAATTTAGAAGTAAATTTTATAAAACACAATCAAATTGCTTATGAATTTAAGGTGAAGTTACAAAATACTATCTATCTAAATTGAAGTACAAAATACCAACACATGCCGAGAATGAGTGCATATGAATTCATAACTTTAGATGGTTTCGAGAGTTATTAATATAAAATGTGTAATAAATTAATTAAGAGAGTTTTCGTATGATTAACATTTTATAACATGAAAATATGTTAAAAATATGAATCGAGTTGATTAAACTACACAAATAAATACTTGGCACTTCACGTGTGATCTTAGTCTATATAATGATAATGTTATGTGTCACATTTTTATAATATTATATATAAATATTCTATTAATATATATTATAAACACTAATTATAATAATATATTAAAAAAAAAGTATAATATAATTTAAATTTAAAACCATTATGCTTTGATTAGTGGTTGATCTGTAAAATTATAAAGTTGGTTATGCCATAATTAGTGTTTTCTTTTAGTTAATGTTATAAAGAGGTAATTAATTATAACACTAATTGAAAGATACATTGGATTAATTAATTAATTAATTAATTAATTATAACACTACACGCCTGCTTTTAAACATTATTTAATTAAATTGCACTCACCGTCATGATTTCGAGGTTGTAAATTAAAGTTTGTCTAAAAAATATTAAAAAGATGAACTCTTAAAAGAATATTTGAACCCTCCCCATTTATGATTGTTTAAAGTGGCAACTCAATTTCCATTCTCTAATAGTAAAGAGGGAACCCATTCTCCAAGTCTTTTCATCCAATCTTCACAACCATGTTTTTAACATATATGTATGTATGTATATATATATATATATATATATATATTATAATCATAACCCAATGAAAAATGAAGGAAGAATCAAGAAAACCCATAAATAAATAAATAAATAAATAAATAAGGAGCAAGAAATACAAGGTAGATTAGATTAACTTCAAAATTTAAAGGAACACTCATCATAGTTCTTACTGAAACAACAAGAAAGGCGAAGAGGGTGAGGGGGGGAAAGGGGAAAGGGGATGTACTAAATCTCAAATGATTGTTTAAGTTTCGATTGAATGGTCAACCAAATAACTCGTACCCATGCAAGAGAAACTACCATTGACCTATACATACACATGTATACTTTTAACTCTAGTTGGCAATATTTTTAAGAGAATAAAAGTCAACGTCCCTTAACCCAGTACGAGTTGTTCAACACGGGAAGAGAAAGTTCCCGAGTAGACTTCAAGAATAAGAGGGGAGACCAAGGGGTTACTTGGGGAGAGAAATGAGTAAGGGGCAAGTCTTTGTTAAGTTGAAAATAATGTGGGCGTTTTTCGAATTAAGATGAAGCGACGGAGGGGGTTGCATTGCTTGTTGAGAAAGAGAGAAGAGGAGTGGGGGTAGGGATGGGTGTGCCGGGCGTTACGAGGCAGCAGGCACCAATATTAAAAACTTGACTCTGCATGTGGACACTATAGGCCCTAAATTTCCGCCACGTATATTCTTACTTCTCTGATTCCTCTCGTTTTATAAATGTCAGCCATTACGTTTACCCATTTATAAAAAAAAACAAAAGTACATGTCAGCCATTACAGTTGACAACTTACTCTGAGTTTAATTTACTATAAAAATGCACACAGGCCCCAATCATATCCCATACAACAGATCCAATTTCTTCTGTTTGAATCTCCACTAACTCGCTTACAATAAGTTAATTTATAAGTTAAACTAAAGACTTATAACAGTTATTTTATGAATATATTATAAATTAGATTTGATATTTGATAAAATTAAAATCTTTAACTCATAGGTATATTAGTAAACAAGAATGATCGAGTTTATTATGTTTTTAAGAAGAGTAAATATTTTGTGATGACTGAATTTTTTTAGTTGAGATAACGACAAATTTGATACTAATTCTTAAAAATATTGAGACCTTAACAAGATTTACCGAAAAAACTTTTGCTATTTTCTTAAGAGGAAAAAATGGTACATAGCTACCAAAATGACCGAGAAATTCTTTTCCTCCAAAACTATTTGATTTGAACTACTAAACATGTTTCAATACATAAACAAACAAATCAATTTGATCTTGATGTCTGCTTCAAGCTATTACTTTCAAACAGTACAGTAGAAAACGATAAACCTTAATCGCTGGTCTAAAATCTAAGCGGTAAGGGGAAACACCCTTGAAACTTTATGTGGTGCAGCACAGAGTGCAAGCCCCAGGTACCAACTATTCAAATGAAAACCCATCAAATGACATTGTTCTCGTCTTAGCACGTGACGTGTGCCCTCTTTCAAGGCAGCATGACAGGTGCCCCTATCAGAGATTCCTCCGAATTTAAACCATGAAGACAAGGATAACAATGCCAGAATTGAGATAATGATCATCAAAATAAACCCACATGAAGATAACCTAAGCCTAATTCCTGTTTCACCCTCTGGGTTAACCTTCAAGTCTCCAAAATACAAGCTAACCCCAGGATCCTTCATTCTCACCTCGCTCCCTTCCAGAATCGAGTTATTTACTCCCTGAATGTTGTTGTTTATGTAAATATTGATGCAGCAATAATCTTTGAAATCCGACTCACCTGTAATGCAATTGTCTATGAACATTTCTGCACCGACATTTCTCCCTTTCAAGTTGATGGTGCTGAAAGTTTCAGAGTCGGTTCCTCCAGCCATGCAAAGTTAGAATCATCTTTCAAATGAGCTCTTCAATAGGGTACTTAAAGTTACGTCTTGCTTCTTTACTTGCATCAATAGATTTTGACCACCACTTTTCTACAGCTACAAGCAAAGGCATTATACTATAGAAATATCTTCAGCAACACATTACTTTCCCTTCTTAAAGCTAACAAGAGTTTAGGTAACTCAAAGCTAGAATCAAAGCCACCCAGTCAGGCCTCCTTACAGATTTGAAGAGAGGGTTTTAACTGATTGAGATGACCTACAAAAAGCGCAGGTAAAACACACCATATCAACACATCCTCAATTTGCAGGAACCACTGTCCCGATAATTACAAATTAAGGTTCACGTATGACTCCACAAGATAGTTATAGTTTGAATGGCATGATCATTAGGAAACAATTAAAAGGACCTTTTGTAAGGGGAATGGACAGAACTTATTTATCAAGTAGTTGACATTTCAACCCGTGAACAGGCATAGCCTACCTTCCAGAATCAAACTGAAAATAGATCAAAGAGTGTAATGGGACTACCGACCAGTTACAGATCAAGCACATCAGATTTCAAGTGTTAAGGAAGATAATGTTAGCAAAAGGACAAAGAACTAATCAAACGTTAATGAACAAAATAAATAAATAGATAAATGCTCCCTTGACAAGAAATGAACCCAAAGATGCCTGGGAATCGGCTAAACCAGATGAACTTGAATCGTTTCTTTTTCCGGTAAAAATTACAAAAGACGGGAATATCTCCTTGTGTTATACATCCCCAAAATTATTGAGGTCCTCATTCTCCATTATTTCTCCACTAGTTTACCCAATAGAAAAAGGCACCTTGTCAAAACGTATGATATCAAAGCTCAAAACTAATGAGCAACTCCATAACACGTAAAAGGTTATGGATGCAATCATTCATCAAAATGATCAAAGTACCTGACCTTTATTAATCAAGGTCACTCGAAATGATTACATATTCTCTACGAGTGAAAGGGAAGAAAAAAAGAGCAATGCATTAATGCATTCTGGGTCCTTCTTTTGACTGAAGGAAATGAAGTGATGAAATACCCATCTCAAGTTCCCACCGAAACAGATTTTTTGCACAGAATATTCAGAAGCAACCGGTTGAGAATGTCATGGCCAATAATCAGTAGGTATTTTTTCGCTCACAGTAGAACCAAATTGAGGGCCACCCTTACGATACTGAATAAGAAACTCAACTGGATACCCCTTCAGCTTATGAGGAACAATTCCCAAATCCTCAAAAGTTAAAGCTGCAAAAACATCAGAAATGGAATGAAATTTGTCAGACCTAAATTTTAGATGCTAATTAGCAATTTTTTACAAACAAAAAAGCTACCAAACTAACCATTTTCTGACACAACTGTGTCAACAGTAAGGGCATTGATCTTATCCAGATTGAAGATGTTGGGAGAGGGTAAGGGGAATGGTACTTTATTAAGGAATATTTCCCGCGGCGTTGCAATAGCCTGAAACCATTCACAAATTATACACTGTCAAACCATTTCTCTGTTCAAATAAAGTGTACATAAATGAGAAAGAGTTCAAAAATCTATATACATTTCATACCACAGTTGGTGCAGGTGATTTTACGAATTATTTTTTGCATAGATAATAAATCCCTTCTGTATTTGGGAGGGGGAAAGAGGGGAGAGGAAGAAATGAGGGTAATTTAGTCTTTGTAGCAGATAATTAGTTTAGAGTCAGTTTTCATTCAACATATTTTACACAAACCCCGATTTTGTGGTGACGCCTCATTTCCTTTCCTTCCATTCTCCTCGTCCCCCTCCCAACCAAGTCTTATTATGGAAAAACAATTAAGCGAAAAGGCAGCTGGAAAGAGGATAAACATGAATGATAAGTTGATAACTCTATAGCACACAACCACACTGCACCACAGTAACTTAATGAGCCCTAATATTAGGAAGGACGATACTTCATGAGTTAATGAATAAGACACAAAACTCAAGAACAGTGTCTGCAGCATTTCCAAAAATACTTATTATCACATCTGAAGCAAGTTTGTTTCTCTCAACACTTTCATATAGACTCGTTATGAATTTACCTTTGCAACAGGGAAAGGAATCTTGACATAGCGAGGCCATTCACGAATCATGTCATACATAAGCTCTGCCTGCAGATAAATTAAATATCAATAATAAACTGGGACTCAGATAAAAAGAATATATAAATAAAATAACAACCTCGAACTATCAAAGAGGAATTGGAGGGTTATAGAAAATACCAATTCATGCATTGTATAGATCTCTGGTCCCCCCAACTCATAAATTTTTCCCATGCTGCCATCATCTTTCAAGGCTGACACAATTGCAGCAGCAACGTCAACAACATAGACGGGTTGGATTATGCAAAAAAAGTCATCATTAGGACACAGATAAGACGTCCCAAGAAAAAGAAAATTCATCAAAATCACAGAAGTTCCAGAAACTGCCCCACCATCCCTCAAAAAATAAGTAATAGCATTAAAGATATACTTGGTAGATCCATCCCCAATCAGGGGTAAAAAGCTATAATTTTTTGCAAATTGTGCCCATGGATTCAGAATCCTGTCCTCCGTACCAATCATAACAGCAGGTCTCATTATTGTGGCCTGTAGCAAGGAGGATATGTAAGAAACTGCAACTGACAGCAGCATGGTAACACCTCAAAGAAGAAAAGATAATCAAGAAGCCACAGTCATTTTGGAGTATAACTCTAATTTGAAGTTTTACAAGCATGCTTATGTTCAATTGCAGTGTACTTCAAGCATACAAATCTTGAGTTTCCGTTATCCTTCACAAGCAAAATTCAGGAAAATTAAGGGTTCTATATCCTATTTACAACAAGATAACATTAAGGTGAAAGCAGCTCAGCATGTATTACAGCAGTTTTTTTATCCATCTATTTACCTATTGTATGCATTTCTACACCTCCCAGGAGATCTTGCAGTAGTAATAAAACATAACAAGCGTAACTGGTGGTGATCCTAATAACCAAACATGATAGCTTCATCCCATTAGCATTTGTTTTCTCCATATTGCAGTTAGAAAAGAATTTATTAACATTATTTACCTCAGGTATTTCTTTCAAAATGGTTTCCTCTGCAGCAGCTTTTGTTCTAAGCATCCTTGATGGAGATGATGATGATGCTCCTAAGCAGGAAACTTGAATAAATCTCATGATACCACCATGTTCGTTCGCAATCTAAACAAATCAATAAAAGAAACCTGATAAATCTATAAAAGTAACACCCAAATTTCACAAAGCATAATAGAATAGATCAAAATCTACAAACAAGTAATTATTGTTATTTCAAAAAAATAAAAATAATAATAGTCACTAATTATTTGTTTTCACGTGTCATTTCCAATTTCCTACTCTTCTCACTTCTTATGATCAATTAAATAGCAGAATAAAAAAGCCCACAATCAAGCTTGATACCAAAACCAAGTAAAAGGTTACTGCTCTTCTAAAAATTTCAGAGAATTACAAAATGATCCTAAGTCAGCATATGAGGCTTCCACTTGTCAAGAATTGTTCTTTTGCATACTCAAATCAAAAAAGCAAATTTACCATGTTGGAAAGATCAAAATGACTTATGTAGAACCTACCAAAGCAAGTCTTTCAGCCATTGAATGGTTCACCTCCTCAAAGCTATAATTTCTTGTCTGATAATCTCTCCCTGCCGATATGAATAATGGCCATATATGAGCCAATTTACAGCTTCATGTATTTGAGAAGGTTTAGAACATATACAATAAAGAAATTGTACCAATAAGATTGATAACTACATTAGCCTTAGCCATCACAGCCTTAATCGAATCTTCATCTCTGGGGTTGTATTTCATTGGTACTATCTGAAATATGGAAAGTTCTCTAGTCATAAGGACACAACTGCTAATCAATAAGATACATACTTTAAACCAAATCCTCAGTCATAATTGCATGTTTCAAGAACATTAAAAGGAAAATTATCTATCACTTCACCTGTCCTAAATCTCCCATCAACTTAAGATGACGATGGCAATCCTCTGAACCTCTAAAAGGAACTAATACTTGAGATCCCATTTTAGCTGGAGAAAAAGTACACTATCAGCATATTACAAGGAAAAAAATGACTTCCATCCTGTCTCTAAAAAAAGATTTTCATCCTTTTAAAAGTTTAAATGTGGTAAAATGAGAAACAAATAAAAACAAATAGTGAAATATGCATCAGATTATCATTAAAATGGAATGAAAAGAGATGCAAACAGTTCTCATCCAACTCACCAAGTTGTTGCACAAGATATCGGCCTAAAAACCCAGTAGCTCCAAACACTGTAGCAATTATGCCACTGCAAACCACACATATTGCTTTCAAATTATGTGAAACAATATAACTAAAGGAATGTCCTAAACAAAGATAACAAGATCATACACTTGCAGCAGAATCTAATTTAACATAAATTTGAAACAATACAAAAAAGCCTAACAAAACCGATAGAGGAAATCCCCCAGTATTCTATCAATAACAGTAGCACAATAGATATTTCAAAACTAACTAATACCTGTTTCCTATTTTTATTCCTCGAGGAAGCTAAGCTCAAAGCAAAATATGGTTATAAAGCATGCTTCCATCTGGGTCTACTTAATCTTGACAGCTCAACTTGATTTAGACTTGTAGTATTTTGACATAAAGACCTCCTTTCTGTGTGGTCAATTGGAAACACAAATTTACATGGAACAACATAATGGTTTTTTAGAGCTTTAGAAGGAAGATTGAGTTCCCAAGCTTGAGATCTCACTTTTTGGATTGAAACAATCACCCAATAAATTGTTCATGCACTTCACTTCATGCATGATGAGGATTAGTTTCATTAACTATGACTGTGATAGATGTACATACTCATAAAGGATGGCACATTTTTGGAAAAATTATCATCTAATTCTCCCAATTATGGAAATATGTTACAATTGGGTTCTAAAATTTTTATTTGCTGCGTGGAAACTGATTTGGAAAACTAGAGCTTCACCTAAAATGGCTTTTTTTGCATGGGACACAACAAGAGGTTGTATCTTAACTTAGGAAAATCTTACAAAAAGAGGAATAATCTTGGTGAACAGGTGTTCTTTGTGCAAGAATGATGCAAAGACAGATAGCCATTCTCTTCTATGATGCCCTTGCACTTTTCAGCTTTAGTCTATGGCATATAGCTTCATGTGAGTTAATTGAATAACGGCCAGTTCAGTAAGAGAGGAGATTTGGGCCTAGAGAGGTATCCATGGGGATAAACCTCTCAAGAAGATTCTTAGTCTTATCCCTTTGGCTACTCTGGGTTATTTGGAAGGAAATAAATATAAGGGATTCTGAGAACATAAAAATTTTCTTTTGATAAAGTCAAACATATTTGGTTTCTGTTTTTAGAAAAATAAAAAGTATAAAGTATCATTAACTAAAGCGCCACCGGGTTCAAACACATGTACAAGATACTTACAATCACAAGCACATTTGGTTTCAGATCCTAAGTTTTTCATTAAGGTTCATCTTGTTTACTCTATTGAGGATCTAGGAAATTTGATTGACATATTGATAGGTTTGTAAAGATTTTGTATACAAGTAGCACACCCTTGGTGTCCTCAATACCATACGTTTCCATTTTAAAAAAAAAAAAATTTAATTAAAATTTCGTCCACAAACTCATGAAACTATTTAAATGTAATTTTTTTTAATG